TGATCAGTGTCTTTATTCAGAAAAGTAAATACCACGCAATGAAGTAAATCTGAGCCTGAAATATGGCTTGACTGTAGGTATAAAAGGTAAAAGCACACAAAACACCCAGCTTTTTATTTAGGGTCAGAGAACCTGCCTTGAAGGGGTCTTATTCCATCACTAGAAGGATGATTCTAAATGCTATCATGTGCGGCGAAGCTGCTGTGAATATATCTTTCTGAGCATTTACGTCAAAAATGATTAACTTCAAAGAATTTCCCTTAATAAAAACCGAATGAGAAGAATTGTTCGTATTCGCAAAAAAACACAAAGTTGGACTAAATCTAGCGAAGGAGGATGGCACACATACACATTAACGGATATATCTTTTGCTTAAAATGTTTGAGATATTAAACCCATCAGGTAATACATGTAAAAAGCACGTTTTACACATCTACAGGTAAGGTTACTATAGATCAAATACCTTTTCTACGATTCCATTTCTACCAGAAAAAAATCCAAACTCATACGCGAAGCTTATATCGCAAAAACCATATTTGAATACCAACGAATTAAATAACACATTATTTATTTATGTATGTATTGCATAAGATGCTCATGCATTATTTACACGTGCTCACATTTGGAAGGTGCGTTATTGACTTGGATATTCAATAAAAGCAATATGTTTAGCCATATGCCTTCATATTTACTTTGCAATTACGCTATGTTTAACACTGCCGAGGAAGTTCATAAAGGAAATGGAAAAAATGATGCATGCAGAAGGCGGGTAAAAAGGACTAAAACATATAAATAATGGAAGTTGGGCCTCTGAATTTGGCTGTGACTTATCACCCGTTATGCACAGTGCACCTGTAGCTCGCAGTGTCCATCGCAATGTTGCTGTCTGTAGGCCCACAGGTCATAAGTACCCTTAATTCCAGAAATAGCTAGCATTTATTTACCTAAGACTAACAAGTCACTTAACAATAGTTGTGTTAGATCGGACAGGTGGGAGGGGGGGGGTTGAGGCAGAGCAGATGGATTTGCAAAACACAACTGATCAAGTGAAGATCAATAGTTGGCGTTAAGCCGTGACCGTGGTCGTATTGTGTTGGGTTGGTGTTTTCAATGTAGTAAATTGATGATGCATTTGCGAGAGCTTTTAGAGTTGCATTGTTCCGTAGATATCAAATTACAAGTGCTCTACTGGCAAAAAACAACTGTTTTAACATACTGTTTCTGTGAAAGGCATGCCGCAGAGAGTCATTGAACTGCACATTAGAAAATCAGTCGACCCTTACTGAAAGATCGCACCGAGTAAAATCGAACAATCTTCAGTGTGAACTTAATAGAACAATCAGCAAGTTAATACCCAAAACGGGTTTCCGTTACACGGAAGTCTACTCACACAAAGTAACAAAACAAGGGGAATTGTGTAGGTTTGCCTCTGTAACCATATCAAATAAAAATAATAAATCACGCAATGATAATTCCGTAGACGGCCTCTCAAAAAATTATCATTTGATACAGTGAGTAAGCTACAGCTAATTGACGACATGCGCTGTTACCAGTAAAAGCATCACATACCAGCACTGTGTAAATATGTTTTAGTCTGTCTATATTAACGTTGTGAAAATTTGCAAAAGTATGTGGCGTGATTCGTATGATATGTTTGTGAACGTATCGACTGTGCACGATTAAACCCATGCTCGTAACAAGGATGTGCCAATTGTAAACAGGGAAAAGGGAAGCATTTTAGAACCAATGTGATACGAATGGCGGTTATTCGTGACCAAGTTCAATGCAAGCAATTGTTGTGAGGTGTTTATATAGTGTGACCAGTTAGTGACATAATAAGTCGTGAAATTGGGTTCTCGCACAAAAATGTCTTTTTGTGGGTAATTTATTATTTTTTACCAATTCTGCCAGCACAAATAACGTAATCTCACCTCAACATGCTCATCTTAGCTCGCCAAACGATCCCTTTAACCTGAACAAAGTAGGGTAAAAAGCACTCCTCAGTGAGTTTTTTTTTTACTTACTCTGTCGTGATCGGGCTCAGCGTGGGCCTCCACTGCGACAATTGACGCACCAAGACTGGCAAATATTCCGGCCGTATAAGTAGGCTGTGAGCCCGATGCGGTGTAAGGACTGGACTCGCTTGACATGCCAAACAGGCGGGCAGTTTGGAGAGCCATGATGACCGCAAAAATACCTTATGCCCCCAACTTGGTGTCAAAAAAATCTGTCTTCGCAGAAAAATCAAACAAACAAAAGAGAAATACCAAACGCACGTCAGTCTGCGTTCACCGCGGCTCGCTCGCCCTACGCCGACTCCATTTTTACTCCCATAAAGAATATAGGGTCGGTTATGTTTCACGGCCCAAGATGCATAGATATATATATATATATCCTAACTCATTTGAACAGATGTGTGTTATTTATATTTTACATATCATACAAAGCATGAGGTGGCTCAAGAGAGGAAGCGAGATGCTCTCTGCAGACAAAACCTGCCGTTCCGCCAACGTAGGCAGAAAATAGACGCGAGTCATATGGACGTGTTTATTTTTACTCCCCTATAGAAGCCCGTTAACAAATCACCTGCCGAAGGACTAACAACTTGCGGCAGGCTGCCTAGCATCTTATTTTGTTCACCTTACCTTCGGTTTGACTGGTTTTGGTATGAAGTGACCGAACGCTCCCAGCATCCCCGACCCGGGGTCCTGGCTGTCGTCTGCTCCCAAACTTGTGAAGGACTGGAGGGTGAGGCGCGCGCTGTGACCCGTCAACGCCGCGGTTGCCATGGTGATTTTTAGAAGAAAACCCTACCAGCAGACGTCTGAGCCCCCGTCAGCTGCTGGGCGCGAAAATAATACCTTCACGTGGATATTCTCACGCTCGCTCCCGAGAAAAACGAGGCAGTCTACCTGTTGTTGGACATCAACCATGTGTGCTTTTATCGTTGCCTACCAATCAGTCCCTTCCAAGTATTACGTTTCACCAAAATATCTTCTATACACAGATTTTTTTCCTCAGCACGCCACTTACGTTGAATTTGCCCAACTGTTACGTATTATCATTGAAAGCATAGTTGCAGTTCATCAAGTTTTGCTGACATATGACTGTAAAAATCAATACCCAATGCCCGCTCTTAATGCTGTCGGCTGTAATCAATTATTAAACCATAGTTGTGATTAATCTGGCGATCGCGAGAGAATTTGTTTGGGACTTCACTATCGTTTCTGTAAATATGTAACATATTGGCTTTTGAAGTCATTTTGCCGGTATTTATATACCCAAGAGACAGCACCAACGCAATCAAAGTGCCCGTAAAATATCCTTCGTTACAAAAAAAGTGGTTTTATGGGAGGAAATCTGTTGGGGACAGTAGGTGAATCGAGAGAGAGAGAGAGGGGGGGTCAGGAGAGAGAGAGAGAGAGAGAGAGAGAGAGAGAGAGAGAGAGAGAAATAAAGATGACAAGTTGAACATAATGTACAAAATAACCAAAATATATGCAAATTTGAAAAGGTAGGAAATATATTCTCTTGACCACAATACTGATAGAGGTTTATGTAATCGTGAACCATTGGTGACAAAAATGTTCACCACAGCACATAGAATTTGTTAAACATAGCTCCCTATTTTAGCCATTTCTCTGTACGTCCGCTCATGGCGGGGGTGGGGGTCGGGGGTGGGGGTGGGGAAGAGATCGTAAAAGAGGGCCTATATCAATGTAATAATGTCGTGTATACACCACTGAAGCAGACTCTTCCAAAGGCTGCTATAATGTTTATTTTTTTCCTTTGTATTTTTTTTTTTTGTTTAAAATTTTATTATTATTATTTTATTTATTTATTTATTTATTTATTATTATTATTATTACTTTTTTTTTGCATTTTGATAATTTTCAAATATCTTAAAACTGGCCCTGGTCTTCGTACCATCTGATGGGAGACCAGCTAAACAGAAACCTTGTGACACCATTCTAACTAACTTTGAAGAAGCAGCAATAGCGTTGGATAACAAGAATTGGAGGCATGTGGTTGATAGGGACTAGACTATAGACTAGACTATAGACTATAAACTGTNGGAGAGAGAGAGAGGAGAGAGAGAGAGAGAGAGAGAGAGAGAGAGAGAGAGAGAGAGAGAGAGAGAGAGAGAAATAAAGATGACAAGTTGAACATTATGTACAAAATAACCAAACAAAATATATACAACTTTGAGAAGGTAGGAAATATATTCTCTTGACCACAATACTGACAGAGATTTATGTAATTGTGAACCATTGGTGACAAAAATGATCACCACAGCACATAGAATTTGTTAAACATAGCTCCTTATTTTAGCCATTTCTCTGTACGTCCGCACATGGCGGGGGTGGGGTTCGGGGGGTGGGGGTGGGGAAGAGATCGTAAAAGAGGGCCTATATCACTGTAATGATATCCTGTATACACCACTGAAGCGGACTCTTCCAAAGGCTGGGAAAATGTTTATTTTTTTCCTTAGTATTTTTTTGTTAAAATTTTTATTGTTATTATTTTATTATTATTATTATTATTATTATTATTACTTTTTTTGCATTTTGATAATTTTCAAATATCTTAAAACTGGTGCTGGTCTTCGTACCATCAGATGGGAGACCAGCTAAACAGAAACCTTGTGACACCATTCTACCTAACTTTGAAGAAGCAGCAATAGCGTTGGATAACAAGAATTGGAGGCATGTGGTTGATAGGGACTAGACTATAGACTAGACTATAGACTATAAACTGTAGTCAGAAAGGAAGGAGGGGGAGAAGGAATGACAAAATATAAAAAAAAACATCAATCAGAAACGACTCAACTGCCATAGTGTCATGAGACATAGGTGGCATACCATACATTATATCAAAATATCTTTCAAGTGCCCCCTACTCTAATGAGAGAAGAAAAAATCAGCTGAGACTCTGTGCTGAGTAGAAACTCATTCCTTGGTTAAAATACAAGACACGCAACACAGAGTAAATGCACTTACTGGTTCTGGACGCATAACATCCCCATAGTGGCTATGGCGGTCATCCTCAAATTCAAAGGACGAGGCTCCCAGATTCGCCCGTTTGTCCTGCGGTCCGTCATCCTGAATCCTGGGAGCCATAGCGGGGATCCCGTAGATAGCCGCCTGCATCGTCCCAAACGATCACCTCAGTGAATCGTAGTAGTAAAACTTCGGCCGGAGGTTAGAATACGGCATTTCCTGCCGCCCGCGCGGTTCTAACTCCCCTCACGCGTGGCGATAGAGGGTCAGTTATTACAATCCAACAGTGCCGGAACTCTGAGAGCACAGGTAGATCGATCGGTGCAGTGCACGTCCGTTTTTCGCCGATCTTCCCGATTAGACCGCTCCGTTTAGAATTTCCCCGGTCTGCACCCTGCGTTAATGGCTTTATATTTTTAAGTACAGGTCCCTCGTATAAAAGTAAACCTCGGGCTTAGGTATCACAGGTTGTTTCTTGATTTCTCGGCCTAGGATCGTCAATACGTGCCCGCGGAGAAAGAGCAAGGTTGCAGCATGATTGAAGAGCTTTCCCTGATTCATATAAATCAGCTCACCTGCTAACTTCTCGCGTATGAAAGTCTAACAGGTCATTTCCTAAGCACGCCGTGCGAGCCTCAAGTGGATATTGTGGAAATTAGGATATTGCTAACGGACGTGGCCTAACTTTCCTTAAATAATCGGGTGTGTGGTGATATTTTAATGTGGTTTGCGCACAGGTTGAGTCAAACACGCGTATACTTAATACGAACAGCTGATTAATCTTAATGCTGTCAGTCTCTCACATCCCATAAAGCGTCCAACACGAGCGAGTGGCAGCAATCGACCAGAAATATCTCAGCCGACGTCGCACCAACAGCATTCACATTTCTATTACAATGTATTTGCGATTTGGAGTCTTTTTTTTTTTCGGTTCCCGTTTTTTTATGCGCAACGGATGTCTGTATCCATCCCTGATAATAAGCTAGCAAAGAAGATACATATTTTTTAGGAGTGGGGTTTAAGTACAAGAAAAAATGATTAAGGGGTTGGATCCCGATAAGAATTTGTACACAGACTGTAAGAAAAAAATAACATTGTGAACTAGTACAGCAAAAATGGGTTAGCGAGATCTTCTCTGGAGAATTAGTGTTACGGTCACCAAATGATGTTGCTTTGGTTGCGTTGAAATGGGTTATAGACAGCCCTTCATAAAAAAAAACATATATGAGGTATATCATGACATTTACGCACGTATGCGTGCTGGCAAGCATGCACGCGAGCAAGCACACAGACTAAAAGGTTTAATTTGCACAAAAAGTTTTAATTTTTCAATCTCAAGCTGTGTTTTCACTTATTTATTAGTGTCTAATGATAACAAAAAACACGTCCATTACCCTTACTCTTTATGGCGATCTACAGGCAGGTCAACTCAGGCCAGTTCAATTTATCACGTGTAAATGGAACATGCAAATGTACTGTATAATGTTCGAAGTAAGTCATATAGTAAATAGGTGTGGCCGTTATTTACTTAATAGTAGAGTAAAGAGATTTCGCTTTGGAGTGTTGGAGCTGTTCTGGCCAGTAGTAAAAACGTACAACTAGGTCAAGACCACCCGTTAATTTACCACTCTGCCGATTCACTTCCAAACTGACAGAAAAGATCAACGTAAAATGTCTTCCAGTCGAGCGGAACAATACGAGGTTCACAAGGGAGAGATACAGGGATTTCTGCTCTTTGTGGTCAGCCACGCCTTAGGGATTTACTTCGCCCCCGCCGTCCCAACTCTTCTTACCCTTACGGACAGACTGGTGTTCACCATACGCTGGCAGTTTCTTTCCAGCATACTGCTACTGGCATCTATTATTGTGTGTGCGCGAAAACGTTTTCATACACCGGCCATTGATCCAACGTCGAGGGAAGGAGCCCATTACGTCGACGTACACGTCAGGGTGATCCAAAACACCCTAGAACAACTTGTGGTCAACACGTTCGGAATTTTAATGTTAACAACATATTTGACACAAGAGATGATGAAGGTCATTCCAGTAATGGTGATCCTCTTTATCACCGCCAGAATTTTGTTTTGGGTTGGTTATGTGATGTCACCTCTTAAAAGAGCGACTGGAATGTCCATGACGTTTTTCTGCACCCTCGCACCGTACGCGTACTGCGTTTTCTGTATGGTGTATTATGGTCCGGGATATGGGCTTACCGGACACTGACAACACAACCTTACACTTAAGTGTAGACAGGATATCTGTACACATTGGGTAAACTCACATAATTAATAATGAGTCTGGGCCACACCTGATAACTCCGCACAGCCGCACGCTTTTTATCCCATGTGCATGTACGTTTTCAGCAGGATACAGTTCGCAGTTTTCATAATATTATCTTTTATTACTCCCAAGCCAGCATAAACTTATTCAACCTAGTGAAACTAGATACGTTGTTAAATTTGCTACAGTGATGTTTTAGAATATTCAGACGTTTTATAGCATTTAGGCTACATGAAGCTGGAAATTGTGGCATTTTTAATGCGCATTCTGGAAACATTTTTTTCATATACATTGTATTCTGATTTGTAATCATAATTATGGTAACTCAGGACTTGCATTGCGTAATAATTGAACTTTGAAAAGACGAAATGTTTCTACCACTAGTAAAGGCTTTATTTTTTATCTTATCTTTATTTTACAGTATGAAAAATACGGTTGAGTTTTAAAGTCATGTTTTGATAATTTACCTGAGCCAAACGATAAAGAAAGAAAGCTGTATAAATGAATCACAATGAAAAAATAACAAAATCAAATATCCGGAATATGTTAGTCTACATTAAAATATTTTCCTTGCCACAGAGCCACGTAGATTTACGATGACTAAATTGTTTGCAACTCTCGTTATTCAGGACGTCTTTCTATAATTTAATCTACTTCTGAGGATGTCTATAGACCTCTTATTGTCATTGTGAAACTAAGACTGGATTTTATAATACCATGGTCTGACTTGTAATTGTTCGAGCTAGATCTACATAATATTAAAGTTAATTAACTTACACACTGCACTTGTTATTTTATATGGGATGATAGCAACGGTAACCTCTATGACGTAACTGTTTTACACTTTATTTCCCTTTATGACGTCAAATGCGACTTTGCGTCACGTATGACACATCTAACGTCTATATGCTGCGCGTTTTGCACGTTTTACGTCACAAGCAACCGTGTTTTATATATCCCAGAATCCTCGCTTCCCAGTCTCCCTAGAAACATCACTATAATGGCTGCCCGGTAAACAATGCACTTTCTTCAAATAATTTTAGCAATTTATGTCGTTCCATGGGCCGAGTTACAAGCAAAAAGTGTTCCAGTAAGTACCTAAAGTAGCTTAAGAAGAACGTCATATTCGCCAAGATTTAAGGAATTTCTAACAAGATATTTATCTTTATACAGTGTAATTCTTCCCTAAGTATTGAGCGTAAAAGGTATAATTAAGAATCTATAGACAGTCTATGTGTTCGACACGAAACAGAATTTAAAAAAGTAACAAATGTCCTTACTGTATTCATTCTGCAATTCCTGGCGTAAATTGTATGTACAGTGCTTTGTGAGAAGTTACGATTAAGATAAAATTTTCGCTTCGGTGGACCAATAAAAGTAAAAGAAATAAAAGTTTCTAAAATTTCTACGTTCTTCTAAAATTTTTATTCTCGGAATAAAAGCTCCTAAATAGATATTTGGATGTTTGGAATTTGCTTGAATGTATATTAATTATGATAGAATCTTCTTAAACTCTAATTACCGGAAAACACATATCTTTGTAAGAGTGCAGGCCCATTTTACAATATCAATTCCAGGTATCAGTGGATAGACAGTAGTTACCGGTAGATAAACAACACATGCTGAATTAGTGACAGTTTTGTATAATAAAACATATGATAAATTATTTCAGTGGCGGCGATCAAAGAATTTCAAGAGATACCCAGTGAAAACTATCTATGAGGATCCAGATCAAATCAATTCGATAAAGCAGCTAAACAATTATTACGACGTACCCTCATACCAAAGCTGGAAACTGAATCCCATTATTGATCCTCGGCCCCAAAGAAGGAGACACGAGTCAATACGTGGCCACAAGTCACGGGGTTCTTCTGAAAAGACCCTGTTAAGAGAGATACAAATTCAAACATTCCTTTACCCGGGGCAGAAATTTAATTTACCTCATGCTGCTCGATTTGCAGACAATTTACATGGCATAAAATCCCGCCACATGCTCAAAGGGGTACCCGTACATTCTAAACACAGGTTACGGCATAACCATGTCTTTTATAGAGATAGTTTCAACAGATTTAAAGTAAAGCCGCCGATTAAACACCATGGCCCCAACCATAGGAAAAGGAAGCCCCAAGGGGTGCCCGTACATTCTAAACATAGGTCACGGCATGACCATGTCTTTTATAGAGATAGTTTCAACAGATTTAAAGTAAAGCCGACGATTAAACACCATGGCCCCAACCATAGGAAAAGGAAGCCCCAAGTGGTGCCCGTTCATTCTAAACATAGGTCACGGCATGACCATGTCTTTTATAGAGATAGTTTCAACAGATTTAAAGTAAAGCCGCCGATTAAACACCATGGCCCCCATCATAGGAAAAGGAAGCCCCAGGACATACTAGTAGACGACGATTTTTTCGATTGGATGCTGAAAATCTGGGAACTAAGATATGGTAAAATTGGTAAAATTGTAAAAAATGGTAAAATTGTAAAAAAAGGTACAACTTTTAGAACATATCCAACTCCGAGTGGTGAGGTAAAATTAGTGACACAGAAACCTGCTGAGACCACACCGTCAAATGTGAACGGCCTACAAGTTACAGCGAGTAATGAAATGCCTGCAATGCAGCAAACAGTGGTTTCTGCAACTGCCACAAATGATGGGGCTTTGGGACAGTATGTCAATCCTACACCACGTATGACGGTGCTTTCACGGAAGACAGTACCCAGTTTCTTAAATATGGTCACTAAACAGCCTTTGGATTTAGGATCTCTTAGTCAGTTTCAAACCGTAACACCTACGCTTATCATCGAAACAAGTCCACAAATAAATGCAGCAGCATCTCACCTCAAAAACGATGTAGTTTTCAGAAAAACGGGTCTTCCGACCCCCTATCCCACCACAAATATAAGGGCAACCTCCAGTACAGAAACTTCTATAAAGCATGCTGCTCCGCAAAAAGATGGGTCTGTCACAACTGGAGAAAAAAGTAATGCAACTGTCATAAGCAAGGCCACACATCTCCCTTCCGTCAGAAATGTGGCACCTACCGGCACCGCGAGCATGGTTGCACAAGGTAGGGCCAAGACAGTGGGACAAAGAGTAAGTGCTCTACCAGTGCCTACCGGCACCGCGAGCATGGTTCCACAAGGTAGGACCAAGACAGTGGGACAAAGAGTAAGTGCTCTACCAGTGCCTACCGGCACCGCGAGCATGGTTCCACAAGGTAGGACCAAGCCAGTGAGACAAAGTGTAAGTGCTCTACCAGTGCCTATCACCACCGTGAAAACGCTTCCTGCACAACATACATCTGCGTCGAAATCGCTTCCCCAACGTACGACTTCCAGACCTTTTGATAACAGTACAAGTTCACCGAATGCCACTGTCATTGGCCAAGGTCAAGCTAAAAAGATTCCCGTCACAAATCCCGCCAAGACAAAAGATAAACCGACGGCACCAATTAAACAACAGTCTACAGAGACACCTTTTACCTCAACGAGTTCCATGACGACTCCCAAGTTACGCAATAAGCCGACCCCTTTTAGTAACAAAGTGGAAAGCCAAACTCCTGGCACAAATCAGGGTGTTGCCGTCAATACTGTTCAAAACAGTTATGCACCATCGCAAACGCCTGGGGATCTCATAACGTCGACACCCGTTCTTAATACAAATCACAAGACGCCAGTCACTTTGCACAAAAATACAACTCCACCAAGCATCAAGAAGACAAGTCAAGCTCATAGCAAAGTAAACCAAAACAAAACGTCCCAGGCGCCTACAACGCTACGCGAGCAGACGACAGTGCCTTCCTCAATTACGCCTCGACCTCTTTCCAATTCCAAAAAAGATCAAAAACAAAAGCAGGGTATGACATTATATTCTTCACACGTTTTTACTAAATATTCTTTTGATTTTTATATAAGGAATAAGTTAAAAGAAAATTCTTAAGTTATTTGCTTTGTAAAATCATGAAACCAAACACTTGGTGCATGGGCATATACTACATGTATGACAATGCCGTAGCTCTTTTCCGTATCATGCCTACAATATATATAATTTAAAAATTTGCTTGTCTTCAACGTGCACGTGTATGTATGAATTTAGATACCTGAAATACTTTTCTCATTTTCACAGATGATTTGGCTTCCTCAGCTGAACGTCAACAACGTAACGCCGCTGATGACCGAGAGACATTTGGCGCTCAGAAAACCCTTGATGGGCCAATTGCGTCGGACAAGATGGTTGTGAATCCAACTGATAACAGTAGTGATGAACTGCGGGTGTATGAAGAAGTAGGTCGAAATGATGGTAGGTACATCTTTATTGTAAATAGGAATTTCTGATATTTAGTCTTTGGTTAATTTCCACTAACGAAGTGATGATATTCTCTTTCAAAGCACATTATTATTATTATTATTATTATTATTATTATTATTATTATTATTGCTGTTGCTGCTCTTGTTATTATTATTATTATTATTATTATTATTATTATTATTATTATTATTATTAACACTTAAGTAAGTTATTAAACTAAAAGTTTTGGACTGGGATGTTCGTTTAGGCCTATACGCGTTTAGGATCAGAATCGGTTATCTGTACATCTTGCTTTCAACTGTAGGTTACGGGCCCTGGAGTGTGTGGGGCCCGTGTAACAAGACATGTGGTCTGGGCAGGAAGCAGAGGTCTAGGTCTTGTTATCCCAGCAGGGGGCGCTGTACTGACGGGAACATCGAGTTATCTTTCTGTGCTCAAGCCAGATGCGACCGTAAATAACAGACGGGAACAATGAATGCGACGCTATTGAACGTATCATACTTTTTTAAAAAATAAACTCTTCATTTTTATTATTGAATTTTTTATTCAAATAATAAAAAAATAGCAAATAAGGAAATAATGATGTAAATATTGTGTGGTTTAAAGGGAAAGTGGTTTACATTTTTGATACATGCATTTGAATTAATTAGGCAACATAAAAACAGTTTTCCCAGTAAATTTTTTAAATATTCTTGAGAAATTCATCGATCATTTACGAAGCACTTTGTCCAATCGACGGTTCGGTCTTTACTACTGCTACTGAATCAACATTTTAATACCTAAATCCTGAAATAAATAAATAAATAAATAAATAAATAAATAAATAAATAAATATTTCTTTTGCACAGAACCTAAAAACATAAAAAAAAAAAAAACATAAGGAGGTAATGACAATAGTTGAAAGCTGCCCAAGCACTGGATTTTTCTATAACATGTATGATTTTTCTATAACATAAATTTCACGTCTTCCAATGCTTATTTCTAGCAGAATATTTAACCTGGTTACAAATGATATTCAGAGTACATATCTGATTCCTTCGTGTATTTGACTGTGATCTCAATACGGATACAGGTTTCTGATAATTTCACACTTTAAACTTCTAAATTTATAAGCTATTTTGTATTTAATTTAAAAAGGCAAAAGAATATATTTCACGTCGAGTAGAATATAGATGCTGAAATTTTGGCATATATCAAATAACTTTTACTCCTGTATCTTTAAACAAGAATGCGCATTTATTCAGGCAAAGGGTTGGTCGCAAAAGTCAAAAGAAAGTATCCAAATAATAATACACAGAGCTCAAAAATTGACTTAATGTTTATTAATACAGCAGATGGTGCGATAGTTGATATACTTTATAAACAATCCTACTCGAGTTCCTTGAAGCATTTTCATTTGTCTCGGGAGGAGCAAATTTTGTTTGATGAATGTTAGTCTACAACAAAGACATTAAATTTGATTTGTTACAGATTTGTTTAGGTGCCCCATTACGTACTGTGGATCAGTGTACATGTAACAGTATCTGATTTACAGAACATCTTGATAATAAACGGCAGAGTCTACTACATCAGGGAAGTATATACATGTACTTCCATGACTACATGTACTGCTCAACCTCTTCAACAATATTTCGAATTAAAATAAGCTTCTGGCTTTTAATAACTTTCATATACAAGCTATGTCAAATTCAAAGCACACTGCAAAAGCATGTACACTAAATACTATTTATTAATCTAATCAAAACCCTAACATACCACATTATTGAGTTAAGCACAGGCGTAATTCCTTTGCACTTTTGTATGCTTTCATGGGAGATATTACTCACAAGACATGTTTTGCTTCGACGTTGAATGCAACTTTTGCACCTTCACCACACCTATTCTGAGTCCTCTTCTTACAGCGTCCATCTGTCAAATGACTATCCTGGAAGACAGCTCGCACTGCGCTAAACGCCTTATTGTTATGTAAATCACAACAGCTATGGCGCATTGTAATTAAATCTCTGACCACAAGGGCGCGCTAGTGGTCCGTTTCAAAATTATTGTATGGCTCATACTTATTTTATATACTATTTTAGAAGCTCCTGATATCAGCGGGTATTTTTATATTAGAAGTTGCAGTCGAGTTGTTGTTCAAATCATTATCTCAAGAAAGGCAAACCTATCATTTAGTCTGCAACTGTCTAAATTATTAAATCATTTTTGTCAACTTTTTTGACAGCATTTCAATATATAAATTATTTTAATAATAATAACTTGATTTAACAGCGAGCCCCTTGCTTACTTTTATTACAAAGTGGATATTTTAAGTTTCTTTTTTATTTTCACTTCCAAATGTTATTTTCCTTGCGATCAAATAAAATTATATACAAGAACTTCCACGTTTGGCTAATATGTGATAATGTGTGCCCATAAAATTAAGCGCAGGTGCCCGGCTTACTGTAGGAAGAATAAAACGATGTACTGAAGCCCCGCTTTGGTGAAACATGACAGAAGAAAGCTCAGCAGCTGTGCTATATTATATGGGCAAATTTGAGTCGAAGTAAGCTACGATAATATGTAGTTACACAGAGCACATGATAACTGTACTGTGTGTATAAAAGAGACAAAATTCCAGAATTACCAATGTACGTACTCAACTTGCTTCTGTCTTGGAAGCTCAACCCCTTTGTACTAGCAGTTTTGATGCTTGGTAGATATGACAAGTAAAGAAGTGAGGGAAGTCATGGATTACTACTTCCAAAAGTGAAATACTGACAAAACATCTAACACTTCAGCACACAATACATGACACTTTCACACGCACAAACATCAATGAAAACTCAAGAGAGAATTGCTGTCTTGTCATTTTATTTTCCTAGCCCTGAAAAGCACAATAATCATTTCTCACCTAATCATCTACATTTAGTGAACAGATCTGAAAAAATTCTCAGCTGATACATAGCCCCCTTACTAGTACATTATAATGTAAGAAATGAAAATGCTTTTCATAAAAGCATACTCAATAACAAATATAATCTTCATTTTAACTGGTAATATTTCTTTCGTAATAATTGATTTAAAACAAACATTACTTTTATTATCCTAATTATCAATTATCTTAATAATGTTGTCAAACAAATTTCAAAATAACTGTTTATCTTCACCATGTGCCATATTCAAACATTATTTGTTGAGTATCTTACCAAGATTGAATTTAGTCTCCCATTCAATCTTAACTTGGGGCAAACCTTATCGACTACTTAAGTTATATACTGGTATATATCACATTCACAATAATATGTAACTGATATCACATTCAATGATTCAAGTGTGGTTATAACTATAATTATAAACAACATCCACTGTTAAATGCCTATCATTTCATGGTTTGCACTGCTGTATTCAATACACAGTACTACAATACTGACTATACAAAGCTGTTAGCATTCTATTTAATTATAAGCACACCAAAAAGGCTTATATATCCATCATGCACAACAGCACACTTATACAATGAAAAATTGGACATTATCAGAACACTATAGCCACATAAGGCACAATATTGTTGCTGGACGCAATACAATGAACACAGTTGGTAATTATGTGTAATTTCACTGAAATGCAGACCTGAATAAAAATAGCTTAATAGTTCATTTGCTCATTGCTCAAATAGCTAAGCTAATTATAGATACATTAACACAAATGACTCAACCCCAATATGCTTTACACCAATCTAAATATTTCATATGAAAACTGAAGTCCAGCACACCATTTGTGGTTTCTCAGTTCAGATTCTTGGCACACACAAAAGCTAGCTTATTATCACCATCATCACACTTTTTATACAATGGTTGAAGCCATCTTTCACAGTTGACTGAAGTCTTATCCTCAAAGTCTTACATATCAATACTGGCAATAAGGTGTACCTCAAAGTTGTCACTGGACTGACATCAAGGTCTTCAATCCCATACTGATTCTACACACTGCACTGGGTGATCAATTTAATGTGCTTATTGACTTGGATGTGGTCCTACTGATCTTGTATGCACTTAGACCAACAAATATAAGTTCTGAAACTTCCTGATAAATAGGTTTTTGTTTGCCTTGGGCAATAAAAATACTGAATTGCACTGAATTTAGCATCTTCCACATCTTCCACCAGGTACCATATTGCCTCTTGATAATGTAGATGTCTGTTGATCTAGAATCCACTCCAACTCAGTCAGTCATGGATTCTACGCATTAATTGTAATAAGCTGAGTATTTCTGTTCACTCTAGGCTGCGGTAGAGGCCTCTGTTGATCTAGTACGTATTGCACAGGTAATCCTAGACCTCTCCTTCCAGGGTTGTTTAAATAAAACTCTTCCACATTCACACGGTCTAGAGTTATTGCCAATCTAGGCAAAGGAGGGCGCTGTGGAGCAACAGGGGCCTGTGGGGACACTGAGGTGGGCTGGAGAAGTTCCTCGGGGGCTGGTGAAGAATTTGAACTCATCTGAACAGGATGTTGGTGGGCTGCAAGAGGAAGCTGAGAACTGGAGGAAGTTGCTATGGTTTCATTGTCATGAGTTGCACACTGAAGTTGAGTGCTGCTGGGGTTGACACAAGTATTGGCTGAAATAATATTACTGCTGGAATGGCCAGTTCCAGCAGATAAAGAATAGCTCTGAGTTCCTGCAACCAGTCCATCATCTATGGAAACACTGATTGAGGCTTCAGCAACTTCCTGAAAAATACTTTCTCCAGTAATCCCAACATGCTGATAAGAAGATGTCGCTGTGTTGCAAGAGGATCCTATATGCAGCCGATTAAGACTCTCAGAGAGACAACTTGAGACATCGTGAACTTGTTGATTAGAATGTGAAATTCTGTCGCTGGGCAATCTGCCTTGGAACTTAAAAGGACTTATTCTGTGTAGCTTGACAACAGGTTCCATAGCAGACAGTGTTGTTCTATGCAGATATTGGGTATGAAGAACAGAAGAAGGCTGCTCCCTTGGTCGGAGTAAGTTGGAATCAATTCTCGGTAGGCATACTTTTACATCTTTACATATATTTTCCAGCTTGTTGCTAGTACAAACTGATGGTTCATTTTCTTGGGCGACAAGGCCAGGTGATGCTTCAAAGTCCATTGATTGGGATGGCAATTCTGTGATAGAATTTTGGTCATCAGTTGGTCCAGTATCCGTGAAAGAAGAATATGATTTATCAATACATGTTTGAACACATGGTTGTCCTGAACCAAGTATGGATTCAAGAGAAGATGGTGTGGTCCTAAAGACAGAAGGGTGGCTCATGTCTAATTTTGGAATGCTGATCCTTAAAGGTTTGCACATGTTGAGTGGGTTTGAAGACATTGCACTTGTAGGCACCCCAATAGGAGTCCATTCGTCCAACTTGCACATGTTGAGTGGGTCTGATGATGATGATGATGCACTCGTAGACATCTCCATATTAGACCATCTGTCTGACTCCTCATGCTCTGCTCCACAACTTTCTGGTGGTTTTTTATCAAATATTGACCTTTTTACCTCTAACCTGCTGACCTCTGGAGATACCTGTTTCTTGGTAGAAGTATCCTGTACTAAAGGGACCCCTCCATTGGTTAAATGAAGCTTTAACTTAGGTATACACAATGACATGCTCTTGCACAGAGACAGGTACTCTTCCTTTTCAGGCGGCAATGGTGTTGTCTGAAATTTTGATGATGAACTTAATCTGACCTTTACATGTTCCTCAACTGGAGAGCTTTCTTTTTTACTTCTTACACCACTTGTGTGAGAATCTTTTGTCATTTTAACAGCATGCTGAGACAAGGCAAAGCTTAATCTATGTAATCTAACAACTGCAGTATCTGGAATATTGAGAGGAGGTTTTCCTGGTGGTGGTTTGTTACCCTGTGACTGACCTCCGATTGATGTCTTTTTTCCATCCTGATTAACATTCACTGTCAAGATTTCAGGTATTTTATTTTGTTGAGATTTAATGTTTAAATAGGCATCGATTTTGTTCAACCTAATTATGACATCTTTGAATTTGAACTTCTGCTTGTCTTCTTCGTGGCTATATGACTTTGAACTATGGGCAGCTTGTTCTGGTGATAAAATCTGGCAGTAAAAAAAAAATGATATAATATTGCTTCAATCATGCATGCAGATAATTATATAAAAGATAAAATCATCAATTCATTCAAGTGTCAAAAGAAAAAAATACTTAAATTCGACCTAGATACCTAGATTAGAAAGCTTGATATACATTATAAACCATAAATCTGGTCAAGTATGCATGTAATTCACCATGCAATGTATAAGGCAGTTTTTTTGGTTCCAGTAACTTACCTGGGGCTTAGAAGATGTCAAATGCCCAGTGATTTCTTTGTGAAGATTACTGAAGAAAGCACTGAGTTTGACCTTGTCCATTCTTCTCTTTCTAGCAGTCAGAAATCTCTTCTTTCTTGAGAAGTAAGTCTGTTGCCTCCTCTGTCTGCCATGTAAGGACCTAGGTTTCTGCCTTCTATAGGGAAGGAGTTTCTTTGGGCAGGTGTGTTTGCGTTCATGTTGTAGAAGGTGTGACCTATGTTTAAACAAAATGCCACAACGCTGGCATCTATTGACTTCTAGCTTCATCCTAAAAGAAAAGAAAGGAAAGTATTACCCTTTTGGTATAATCTTTTTTGACTTTCACCTCTGTGAAAGTACACAAAAGAGAAATATATGCTCTCTCTTCAAAGCATACCCAAAGTCATAGGAAAAACAGTCTTAATTGCTGCGATACAAAGAATTGTATCAAGAGCCTTTTACAAAAATAGCGGCCTTGTGCTGTGAACAGCATGTTTATACTTTCTGCCAGTCAAACAGAAGCAGGAAATTAAGAATTTAGCATATGATATTATGAGTTTCTATAATTTTTCCTCAATTTAATTCTAATCCTATTATCAGTGACTATCCTATTCATTATCCTAAGTATAAATCACTGTGTTAGAATCTAATGTGAACAGCTGCAAACATTTGCAAAATTTTCTACAAATGGCACACAACTCTCAACACAACTCACAATATTCAAAACTGCGAATACCTGCATTGCCTATTATCTTTACACCAAGCAATTACGAAAAAATAATATGCAATTGCCTTTGATATCATAGAGGCCAAATTGCCTAAAAATGCTACCCAAAAATGAACAACCATCTTTAACATGCGCCAGAAAAAATGGCAGAATACATGTATTTATGTCTAATGAGACCCAGGCCCGGCAGCCTGGGCCTGTAACATATTGCTTCATCGTACAGCATTAAAAATTAAGATTCTACCCTATTTCTGCAAACATAACATGCATACCTTGAAAATATGTAGATCTATAGCTATAAAATGTGAGCAATCTTGGGTGAAGCGCATGAAGAGGATGAGAATAACTTTAAAACTTGTTCAGTCTAACATTTTTCCACCTCTTCCGTCTGCCAAACATAAAATAATTATAATATGAATGTAGGGGGAGCACTATCAAGCCAATCCAATACTTGTCTATAAATTAAGATTTAGTTAATATAAAACATATCTGAAATAGTACTTGTTTTTAAAAATTAAAATATTTCATAAACTAATGTCAGCATTTTTTACGATTTGTTTAGCGGAATAGTAAATAAATCGATTTGTTTACAAATAATCTTTGATACTATCCTATCTTGACTGCTAGCGCTGAATGAGAAAACACAGGAGAGAGAGAGTGAGGATACAGAAGCCATGGAAATCTCAGACGAAGACGATGTAACTTTTCTATCCGGTAAGTAGGGTACCGTTAGTCTCAAATAATTATTCTTGGAAACATACTTCCACTTACTACTTTGAAAAGTCATTATTGCTGTGAAAACGTCCTGCCATGCACGTAAGAACTTGATAAATGAGGGCAACATTTATCGGTCCGCTGCCAATTTCAGGGAAACTCAATTTCACGGAAACATAAAGATAAAACGGATAAGAGCCGCCGTGCTTCATATTTAGGAGGTATAGTGCAAAAATAAGGAGAACACACTGCTGTGCATATTAAATTTTTATCAAGGTTTCCCGTTCGGGTGTTTACTGTAATAATAGCAAGCACGTGTGTGTGTGTGTGTGTGTGGGGGGGGGGGGGGGGGGGGGGGGT